GTGTGTTACTATGATGAGGAAAAGGTTCCACCAGCGCCTCCAAACTAAGAAAAAGTAGGAAGAAAGGTCTAGTGAGCTACTTCCAAAAATCAGCAGTGAAAACCCTACATATCACAAGAATCACCTCCACAACCAATCAAAGGGATGGTACAAACCAGGCAGCTTTACCCTCCCTTGTCTATGGGTTGCCATGAATCAGAGGCCAACTCCACAGCAGCTAACAACAACATATGCAGAATTTATATGAGGAAATCAAAGACTAGCTAAGTAAATAGCAAGATATGCTCTATTCATGGATAAGACTGAATATTATTAATATATCAATTCTTCCTGACTTATCTAAGGATTCAATGCAATCTGAATCAAAATTCTGGCAAGTTATTTGGGGATTATCAACAAACTGATTTTAAAGTTTATATGGAAAGGCAAATGACCAAGAATAACCTACACAACACTGTAGAACAGAGTTGGAGGACCACAACTATCCAACTGCAAAACTTTACTATAAAGCTACCATGATCAAGATAGTGAGACACTGGCAAATACAGACTAAATCTCTGAAACATTGAACAGATGGAATTTTGAGAATGGCAATTTTTTGTATCAAAGTTACTGAAAGTTTTGGTCTTTACCTCTGTCAACAGTACTTTGTTTGCTATATATGACCTCACTTCCCAGGATACAATACACTACAACACCTCTGGTTCCTCCAGCCCAGTCCTTTTGTCCATTTGTTTTCTAAGATTTGCAGTCTCTAGTTAATGAAAAAAAAAAAATTACTGATCAAAAAGCAGCATAATTGTTAACAAAGAGAAAGCTACCAGCTTTCTAGTTGGTAGGGATCTTCCATTATTGAATCAAGAAAAAATGTGAAGAAATCTGAGTCTTTTTATTTTATTTTGTTACTAGCAAGCAAACAGGGAAAGGTTATCTATTACCTTTCCAAGAATCATACATCAACCCTGAAGTTAATAAAAATGCCAGTGTCTAGCAATAAGCTAACAAGTCAAGTTTTTCAGCAGTGATTGAGTTTTAATATTTTCCTTTGTCTTCAACAGAAGCTAAAAAAAAAAAATTACTAGAGGTTGCGCAACAAAATTTTAACTTGAAAATTCTGTTTTACATTTATGTTATTAGCATAGTTTTAACAATGCTATCATTAAGAATACACAAAGTCTTTTTCAATCATTCAAAGCCTATTTTTCTTCAAATAATTCCTCTATTTGACATTTTTCAAATCATCTATTTGCAAATAAAAACCTTAGTGAACTAACACTCAAAAAACGCTATTATCTGATTGTTTGCCATTTGCAAAGTAAAGTTCTAAAACATAAAGAATCCATGTAAAAAAGATGTATTACACTTGGCTTTTTAATTTTATAAAAATATGAAACTCATGATGCAACTCTTGCCCAGTGAATTAACAATTGCTAACATTTTCAATGGAGCCAATGATTCAAATGATTTCACCTCTCTTCTGCATAAGAGGTTAAATTTGGCACTTGTGGAAAATACCTAAGGATGAATGAATTATAGAGTTAAAAATCAAGACTCAGGAGAAAGTTCCAGTAAGATGGCAGAACAGGCAGAAAAACTGTACAGACCCTCTTCAACAAAGAAAAGGGGAACCAATTAACACACATACAGAGGGTAATCCTGGAGCTCTGAGCGTTGAAAAGAAGGATACAGAAGTGGACTGGACTCCAACTAGTGGAAAAACCTGCATGAAAACACCAAAAATGGAGACCTATGGAGATGCAGTCTGTCAGCACTGGAGGTGGTCACTTATTTATGCCAAGAAATTTGGAAGATAACTACTTGGCCAACCAACCGGAAGAGATCCATTTTTGTGCCCATTCCAAAGAAAGGTGATCAAAAAAATACAGAAAGTATCAAACAATATCATTAATATCTTTGGAAAAAAAAAAACAAACTCACTGCTGTCAGTCAGATCCGACTCATAGTGACCCCTCCTTGGGTTTCCCAGGCAGTATATCTATGGAAGAAGATTGCCCAATCTTCATTCTGAGGAGCGACTGGTGGGTTTGAACCGCTAGCCTTTTGGTTAGCAGTCAAATGCCTTAGGCACTACACCATCAAAGCTCCCATCATTAATATCACACACAAGTAAAATTCAGCTGAAGATAATTTAAAAACACATGCAGAAGTATATTGACAGGGAACTTACAGAAATTCAAGCTGGATTCAGAAGTGAATGTAGAGCAATGGATATCATTGTTGATGTGAGATGGCTCTCAGCTGAGAGCACAGAATACCAGAAAGATGTTTACCTATGTTTTATTGACTATGCAAAGGCATCTGACTATGTGGATCATAACACATTATGGATAACATTGCGAAGAATGGGAATTCAAGAACACCTAATTGTGTTCGTGAGGAACCTGTACATAGACAAAAAAGCTGTCATTTGAACAGAACAAGGGGATACTGCATGGTTTAAAATCAGGAAAGGTGTGTGGTAGGGTTGTATCTTTCATCATACTATTCAATCTGTATGCCTGAGCAAATAAGTCAAGAAGATGGACTATGTGAAGAAGAACGTGGCATCAAGATTGGAGGAAAACTCACTAAAAACCTGTGATCAGCAGGTGATATAACTTTGCTCGCTGGGAGTGAAGATGACTTGAAGCACTTTCTGCTGAAGATCAATTACAGCCTTTTGTATGGATTGCACCTCAACGTAAGAAAACAAAAATCCTCACAACTGGACCAATAAGCAACATCAAGATAAATGGAGAAAAGTTTGAAGTTGTTAGGAATTTCATTTTACTTGGATCCATAATCAATGCCCATGGAAGCAGCAGTCAAGGAATCAGATGACGTGTTACACTGAGCTATTATACTGCAAATGACTTCTTTAAAGTATTAAGGAGCAAAGATGTCACTTTCAAGACTAAGGTGCACCTAACCCAAGCCGTGGTATTTTCAATTGCTTCATGTGCGTGTGAAAGCTGGAAAATGAATAAGGACGACCATAGAAGAACTGATGCATCTGTAGCACAGTGTAGGCAAAGAACATTGAAATACCATGGACTGCCAGAATGAACAAATCTGTCTTGGAAGCACAGTTGGAATGTTCCTTAGAAATGAGAATGGCCAGACTTCATCTCACATACTTTGATCATGCTGTCAGAAGGGACCACTCCCTGGAGAAGGATATCATGCTGGTAAAGTTGAGGGTCAGCAAAAGAGGGAAGACCGTAAATAAGATGGACTGACACAGTAGCAGCAATGATTGGCTCAAGCATAGCAAAGACTGTGAGGATGGCACAGGAAAGGGCAGTGTTTCATTCTGTTATACATAGCGTCACTATGAGTTGGAGCCAACTGGATGGCACCTAAAACAACAATAGTTGGCTAATAATGGACTTAGAAGCACTAAAATTTGAAACCATTATGATCAATTCTAAATTGGTTATCTATATCATCTGTATTAATATACCCAAGACTAATAAAGTTGCTCTTTTGAAACTATCTCTGGTTTTCACTCACTAATGAGTAAGTCTGCAGTATACACTTGCTGTCATTCAGTTTCATTAAGGGAGAAAATTGTTTCCATGTGTAAGGGCACAAAACAGAAAATAAGAGTTTGGTCTTTACCAAACAATAATTTTGCTTAAGTAGTAAAATATGTCAACCTCCAACATTATGCTCTTTTCAAGATCTATCTATATAAGATCAAACTGACAAGAGAAACTTGAAAGTTTAGATGAGGAAGCAATGAGCTTACATTAATGGACAAGGAACAACTCAGAAAAGGAGAATGAGAATGACTGAACAACTCAAAGAATATAAACAATATCACTTAATTGTATGTGCAAAAACTGTTGAATTTGTTTATGTTTTGTTGTATATATTCTCAACAACAGCAACAACAACAAAAATAAAATAATTTTTAAGAAAAGTTTGGATTTATTTCAATAATCAGAAAAAACTGAATTGTAGCAACATACATTTAGATATAAATGGCCAACAGATTTCCACATAATCAACACTGCTATCTTCATGTTATTTTCCTGCAAGAATGCATTAACAGGTCCTGACTCCATCTAGTTCACAACATTCTCTGCTTGGTTTTCAAAGTGTTTTGAACAAGCTCCTCAGCTCACTTACTCCACAAAACTTCGTATTCGCCTCTTTGGCTTCTCTAGCATAAGGGTTTTTCACTCTCCCCTGGACATATTTATTTCCGTATTAGTCTTCTGCTCAGACTATTCCCTTGCCTGGAGTGCCCACAGGTCTATTACCTACCTAAGTTCTACCTACCTTTCTAGGCTCAGCTTAACTCATCATGTTTTCCATGGAGCCTTTTTCCTGCCATGAAGACCAATTTTGATCTGTCACTTCTTTAAAGACTTATTCTTTGCTACAGTCAGTGCCATGCAATTTACCAGTTGTTCTTTAATTATTTTATGTTCTCCAGCACCTTATCAAGTTGAAGGCAGTAACATTTTAAATTTCTTTGTAACATAAAAATAGGGTATCATAGCAATAAATATTTTATCAACTGACAGAAATCCAGTTATAGGGAATATTATAAAAAATCCATACATTTTCACTTATTGAGGCAACCACATTCCCAAGATTCAGAGTCTAAGAAAAAACTCAATATTCCAATTTCTTTTCTGAAGCTGTTGGAAACAATCAACTCACTAATAAGTAGAAAAAGGTCTCTGCATATTGGAGAAAAAAAAGTCAACTCCAGTGATTAAAAAAGCTTAAGAATGCACATAACAAGTTAAAATACCATAACCTAATAACAACATATACTTTTCAGTTGAGATAGTCTAAAAGTGCTATAAGCAAGTATTATAACCCAAATCTGCAAAGATCCAAAATCCATGGTGATTTTGTTTTACAAGTTCTACAAAAATACCTAATGCTCTATTGTATTACAGTGATCACTTTTGTTTAGTAATTATTAACTTTGTTTTATAATACAACTCATATCAATGATGACAGTAAAGCAATCTACTTACTCCACCCATTGTAATTCCATGAATAAATGCAACATATGGTTTCTGGCAAGAACCTAAAAAGAAACAGAGCTATGATTAGTTGCAATGTTGAATGCATTCATCTTTTACCAAAAATCACATTACATGAACTCTGAATAGATTTCCTAAGAAATTTTTACAAAAAATATTAAAGTGGAGTAAATGGATGCTTTGTAAAATATGTTATTTGTAATGTCATGGTGGTCTATAAGGCAAATAAATGTTAATTATTTTTCTCAATAGCTAAGCTATACAAGACCTTCATTTGTTTCAAATTGAAGTGTTTAGTTGTTAAATGATAATGAGTAGAATGTCAGGATTATGCATGAATTGACAGATTCTAGTTTCAGCTTTATCATTAATTTGCAATTCAACTGGGCACAACTTAAATTTCATGTGTGTGTGTGTGTTATAGATGACATGATGTGATACATACAACACATTGTATGATTTATGGATGAGTTTCTTCATCTATAAAATGAAGTTACAACTGGAAAATTCTGTTAATCATACAAACTTTTACTCTTTTCCTTTCCCTTTTTTTGTTTTTCCTTTGAGGAGTTGCCTAGAACATACAAACATGTAAATCACTGAGCTTTTATTGTAACCTGTTGCCAATATTATTCCTTGCCAGAGGCCAATATAAAATTCCAGGAGGTCGATCTGTCTAGCCATTCTGTAAATATTCCCAGTTACCCAAATGAGCCACTAAAGCATAACTCAAATATCACATTCCCAAGGACTTCTGTAGTTCTCAATTTTGACTTGGAGTTCCCTGGAAACTAAGGTAAGTAAATTCTTTATTGACTGGGATGGAGATAAAAACATGTACTCATGCACACACAGACACACATATAAATTCACCTATGTTGTTGTTGTTGTTATGTGTCGTCGAGTCGGCCCCGACTCATAGCGACCCCTCCTTGGGTTTCCGAGGCAGTATCACTACGGAAGTAGGATTGCCCAACCTTCCTTCCGAGGAGTGGCTGGTGGGTTTGAACCACGAGTCTTCTGGTTAGCAGTCAAGTGCTTTAGCCACTATGCTACCAGAGCTCACCTATAGATGCATATATTTTCAGATATAAAGTATTAGAAAGCTAATCAATACAGGACATGAAGCCAGAAGCTGTCATATTCTTTACTGACTATATCTTGAAGGTAATAGAGATTGAATTACATTCCCTAAAAAAGTTACTAAAGTCCTAGCTACCATATCTATAAATGTGGCCTTGTTTAGAAATAAGGTTGAAGATGTTATCAGTGAAGTTAGCATGAGGTCATACTGGAGTACGGTGGGTTCTAATTCAATCTCAGTGGTGTCCTTATAATAGAGACAGAGACATACTGAGGGAAGACAACCAGGCCATGTGACACAGGAGGCAGAAGCCATGGAAAACCTGGGAAAGACAAGAAGAGACCTTCCCGAGCCTTCAGAGACAGCATGGCCCTGCAAACACTCTGAAATGGGACTTGTAGCCTCCAGAACTGTGAGATAATACATTTTTACTCTTAAAAGCCACTCAGTTTGTGGTATTTCATTATGGCAGCTTTAGGAAGTTAACAAAGAGGCTTTCTCTCTGTATATCAACATTTTCTTGAATTCTCTTTTCAAACTCCTTAGAGGTTTTCTCCCATCTCCTTTTATTTAATATAGAACAGCACTGTCCAATATAACAGCCACCAGTCCTATGTGGCTTTTTATATTAAAATTATTTAAAACCAAATTAAATTTCTAATTCAGTTTCTTGATCATACTGTTTTCAAGTGCTCAACAGCCACATGTGGCTAGTGGCTATTGTATAAAACAGCACAGATACAGAACACAGCCATCGTCACAGAAGGTTCTTTTGGACAGTGTTGGTATAGAATATAAGAATGAATAAAACTCTAAGTAAATTTGATACGTGGAATTTTAGGCTTTGAGCTAAAGTGGGAATAAGACCTTTCCCAACACCTACTTCAAAGACAAAGAAATGCTAGGGGCAGGGGGAGGGGTAGTTTTAAATATATAACCAAGTTATACAAGTTGAAAGTCAGCAAAAAGAAAGCCCCAGTTGAAACAAACTCAAAAGTTGAGTAGAAGTTACAGCCAAAGAAGTTATAGATATGAGTGTATGTGTGTGTGTGTGTGTCATAAGAAGCAGCAGGGGGTTATTCTAGGCCTATAAAATGAGCTACTGCATAAAGCCTCAAGTTAGGAAGAACTATTCTCTAGTGGCTAAGGCACCTAACTGCTAACCAGAAGGCTGGCGGTTCACACCCACCAGCCACTCCTCGGAAGGAAGGTTGGGCAATCTACTTCCATAGTGATATCGCCTCGGAAACCCAAGGAGGGGTCACTATGAGTCAGGTCCGACTCGACAGCACATAACAACAACAACATTCCATTTGTAAAACAGGACTATCTGCTGATTCTGGAACTCAGTAAGGAAGCTTACTCTCTGCTTACCAGAGCAGGTAGGAAAAAGCCAGAGAAAGCAGATGCTCAAGCACTTGGTAACACCACCACCTCTACAACTGAACAGACAGAACAACCCTAACAAAATTGAAATAAGGGGAAAGTCCTTAACTTGGTAAAAACATTCTGTAAGAACAAGACACTACCATAATCACTCAACATTACAGCAGAAGTCTTAGTCAAAATAAAATACAAGAAAAGCCATATATATAAGGAAGAGATTGGGAAGAAAAAAAAAAGGGTAGCATAGTGCCTAAGGCACTTGACTGCTAACCAGAAGGCTGGCAGTTCAAACCCACCAGCCACTCCTCGGAAGGAAGGTTGGACAATCTACTTCCGTAGTGATGTTGCCTCGGAAACCCAAGAAGGGGTCGCTATGAGTCAGGTCCGACTCAACGGCACATAACAACAACAACAACTATCTGCACATATACAGAAAAGCCAAGAACATCTACAAAAATACCATTAAAATTAATAAATTTCAATAGAGTTGTTGCATGTAAGACCAAAAAAACCAAATCCACTGCCATCAAGTTGATTCCGACTCACAGAGATCCCCCATTGAGTTTCCAAGGCAGTAAATCTTTACAGAAGTAGATGGCCCAGTTTTGCTACCATGGAGCGGCTAGTGGGTTTGAACCACCAACCTTTTGGTTAGCAGTCAGATGCCTTAGGCACAGTGCTACCAGAGCTCCCATGTAAGACCAGGATATTAAAATCCAAAATATTTCTATATGCCAGAAAGAGTCAATTAGAAAAGTAATAGGAAAAGAATTATCATTAAACGTAGTAGCCAAGCTACCTAAGAATACAGAAACAGAAAAACCAAACTCACTGCCATCAAGTTGGATCCGACTCATAGAATACCTCCTTGGGTTTCTGAGGTGGCATCACCATGAAAGTAGATTGCCCAGTTTTCCTTCTGAGGAGTGGCTGGTGGGTTTGAACTGCCAGCCTTCTGGTTAGCAGTCAAATGCCTTAGGCACTATACCACCATAGCTCCTACCTAAGAATAAAGTCTTTAAAAAAAAAAAAAAATCAAGCAAAGTCTCTGTTTTGGCTATCTAGTGCTGCTCTAACAGAAAATGCCACAGATGGATGGCTGTAACAAACAAGAGTTTATTCTCTCACAGTTTAGGAGACTAGAAGTCTGAGTTCAAAGTACCAGCTCTAGGGGCTGGGTGAAGGCCCCTCAACCTTGGGCTTCAGCTCTGCTTCCTACTTCTGACCCAATGAAGCTGGAGGCATCTCTTAATTCAGAGAGCTGCTGGCTGCTGAGGTTGACAAACCCAATGTCAACAGGTAAAATGGCACAGTCTCCAAATTATCAAGCAACATAGCAGATCACTAGTTCAACTCCAGAAACAGTCTCAAGATCGGCAGACAATGTGTCAGGCCACTGAGATGAAGACTCGGCCAAATGAAGGATCCAGATGTGCCAAAAAGTTCAGAGACCTTTTCTCAAAGCATCTTCATATATACTGGAAGCAGACCACATTCCTAAGGCAGCTACACAGCTTCTCACAGTAGATTCCACCATGTAGTTGATTACCAGTCTCATCATGGAGAATCACTACATCCAGACGCCCAGCCACTCAAAACCAGGGCTAGCCAAGTTGACATATAAGCTTAACTATCATAGTCTCTATGAAAAACGTACAAAACATCATGGAAGAACATGGAAGTCAACCTAATGAAAACATTCTAAAACTGGCTTAGGGTGATGGTTGCACAACTTTAACTTTACTAATCATACATTTGAAATGGGTGAATTTTATGGTATGCAAATTAAAACTCCAGAGAGGTTTTGTTTGTTTAAGTCTATGTGAATAAATGAAGTGGCATGTCATAATCATAGACATATCAAATATGTCAACTCCCCCTAAATTAATATAATCCATTATCATTCCAATCAAAAGCTCAAGAAGATATTTACAGGAACCAGATAAGCCAATTCTAAAATTCAAATGGAAGATCAAAAGTCCAAGGGTAAAAATGCATTGGCCCGTGTCACTTTTGTTTTGTGTATTTTACTGTACATAAATTATATTTCACTAAAATATATTTTTTAAAAAAAGTTCAAGAGTAGTCAAGACAATTCTAAAAGAAAACAAGAAAAACTTGATCTAGGACAGAGACATATTTAAAGTCATTTCAACATAAGTATAGACAAATAGATCAATGAACAAAATGTCCCAGAAAAAGACCTGGGCACATATAAGAAGTTGGTGTATTAACAGAAGTGTCATTAAAATCAGTGAGGAAGGGATGGACATTTCAATAAAAGGCATTAGGGCACCTGGCTTTCTATATGGAAAATAAACGGTATCACAATCAAAACACATCCAAGTACATTAAAGACCTAGAATATAAAGAAACAAAACATTCAAATTGTTAGAAAATATAATATCTTTACCTCAGTGTAGGAAAAGTTAGGCTTTTTTAAGATGCAAAAAAGCAGAAATCAAATGGATACATTTCATTGCATCAGAAAAACATCTTTTGTATATGCCAAAAGATAAAACAAAGCAGCCAACTAGAAGTATACTTGTAATACATATTACCTATAAAAGCTAAGTATTCAGAATACATAAATAATTTGTATAAAATGAGCAAGAAGATGATAATCCAATACAGAGATGGATAAAGAATGAAAACATAAATACAAGAACCATAGGAACTACCATCTACTTCATTGGTGTTCAAGGAAATGCAAATAATGGCCATAATAAGATATTATTACATGCAAAGTTTAACAAATTTTTAAAGAATGTGTAGAAAAAGAAAGTCTTGTACTCTAGAAAACATTTTTGGAAACAAACTGAAGATGTAAAAACTCCATATGTAGTCCATCAATTCTGCTTCTAATATCCCCAGAGAAATTTTTTCACATGGGTACTAAGGGGACATACAAGGGTGCAACAATCTGAATTAGTAAAAATTAGAAATAAATTAAAAGATTCATTAATGTAGACTAGTGAATAATAATAGTATAATAATAAGATTAGTATAATAGTAATACTAATATTATGAATTTAATAATTCATAATATGAAATATATTGAATAATTACTTTTCATGTTGTTACAAACAAGTTATAAATTTGTATATACACTAAGATAGTACTTATGTAAATTTCAAAAACTAAATATATTTTGTTCACAAATACAGAGTGAAAATATAAAACGTGGACTAGGAAGAAACACTACCAATGAACAATAATGAACAATAATTGACTACTTCTGAGGAGGGAGTGAAGAAGAATGGAACTGAGGAAAAGCAACAGGGCTGACTGAACTGTAATTTTAAACCTTCTGTATAATATTATATTTCCTTTATATTTTAAAGGGTCAAGCAAAAACAAAATATAGATATCTTAATTTTGGGTTGGTACTAAACAAGTATTTATTATGTTGTTCTCTCTAATTTAAATTTTAAAATACACACTTGATAAAAGGACTGTTTCACTTTCAGTGAAACCTGGTACCTCAACTCCGAAGAAATTTTTATTCCAGAGGCCCTCAAGAGTTAGGAAATGATACTTCATTTATAAAGAAAATGAAACTCAATTTTTTCCCCCCAAAAAAAGCCAGCCATGTGATCAAGAATCCATGTTTTCATACTAATTTTATGAAAGAAAAAAATAAAAAGTACGTTGTTATTGTTGTTAGGTGCTGTTGAGTTGGCTTCAACTCATAGCAATCCTATATACAACAGAATGCAACACTGCCTGGTCCTATGCCAGCCTTACAATCCTTGCTATACCTGAGTGCATCTTTTCTTTTTTTAAAATTTTTATTGTGATTTGAATGAAAAGAGCAAATTAGTTTTCCATACAGCACTTCATATATACCACCTACACTTGGACATTGACTGCAACTTCCCACAATGCAACAGCTCTCTTCCCACTTCCTCCCCATAATTCCTCTTCTCTGTGTCCCTCCCTCCCAGGCACTCCTAGCCCACGAGCTGTCTCCCTGTACATATACAGCCCTTCTTTCCTCCCATGATTGAGCTCTCCACAGAGTGTATCTACCTAATGTAAATGTTCAACTCATATGCCTGTCTTCTGTTTGGCTGGAAGCCACAGGAGTGGGTTCATTTCCAGACCTGAAGGGAAGCTAGGGACCATAATCTCAGGGGTTTCACCAGGCTCTATCAGATCAGCAAACGTGGTCCATTTTTTCTTTATGATTGTGAGTTTTGTTCCACATTGTTCTCCCACTCTATCCAGGATCTCTACATAGATCACCCTCTGAGCGGTTGACAGTGGTAGTGGGGCACCATCTAGTTCTTCTGGTCTCATAGTCGTATAGACTGAGGACGGTGTGGTATACCAGTCCCTTGGACTAACTGTTTCCATGTATCTTTGGTTTTCTTCAGTCTTCTTTGCCCTGAGTGCATCTTTGCAGCCACTGTGTCAATCCATCTCATTGAGAGTCTTCCCCTTTTTTAACTGACCCTCCACTTTACCAAACATGATATCCTTCTCCAGAGAATGGTCCCTTCTAACATGACCAAAGTAAGTGTGACGAAGTCTGGCCATTCTTGCTTCCAAGGAACATTCCAGCTGCACTTCTTCCAGGACAGATTTGTTAGTTCTTCTGTCAGTCCACAGTACTGTAAGTACACTTCATCAGTGCCATAACTCAAAAGCATCAACTCTTCTTCTGTCTTCTTTATTCATTGTCCAGCTTTCACATGCACATGAGGTGACTGAAAACACCAAGGCTTGGGTTAAGAGCACCTCAGTCTTCAAAGAGTTATCTTTGCTCTTCACTTTAAAAAAGACTTTCGTAGCAGATTTTCCCAGTGCAATATGTCATCTGATGTCCTGACTGCTGCTTCCATCCATATTGATTGTGGAATCAAGGAATATGAAGCCTTTGACAAGTTCAATCTTTTTTCCATTTATCGTGATGCTGTTAATTGGTGGAGTTGTGAGGATTTTCCTTTTCTTTATGCTTAGGTGTAATCCATATTGCAGACTGTAGTCTTTAATCTTCATCAGTAAGTGCTACAAGTCATTTTCACTTTCAGCAAGCAAGGTTGTGTCATCTGCTTATTGCAGGTTGTTAATGAGTCTTCCTCCAATCCTGATACTGCATTCTTCTTCATACAGTCTAACTTCTTGGATTATGTGCTCAGCCTACAGATTGAGTAAGTATGGTGAAAGGATACAATTCTGACACACACCTTCCTGATTTTAAACCAGGCTGTTCAAACCGACCAGCCACTCCTCGGAAGGAAGGTTGGGCAATCTACTTCCGTAGTGATACTGCCTCAGAAACCCAAGGTGGGGTCACTACGAGTTGGATCCGACTTGACGGCAGTGGGTTTGGATCCCTTTATTCTGTTAGAAAGACAGCTTCCTGGTCTATGTACAGGTACCTTATGAACACAGTTACATGTTCTGGAATTTCCATTCTTTTCAATGTTATCCATAATTTGTTATGATCCACACAGTCAAATGCTTTTGTATATTCAATAAAAGGCAGGTAAGCATCTTTCTGGTATTCTTTGCTTTCAGCCAAGACCCATCTGACATCAGCAACAATATCCCTCATTCCACATCCTCTTCTGAATCCAGCTTGCATTTCTGGGAGTTCCCTGTCAAAGCCTACTAATATTAAAATGGTAATTATATTGAAAGAAGCTGTCAAAATAGTTTAATTAATTTAATTTATACCAAAGTACTAATCACAACTCTATTTGTATGATTATTTATTTCATATCTCTCTCCCCACTGGACTTAAGCTCAATGAGGGCAAGAACAATGGCTGTCATCCCTATTGTCTTTTACCATAATTGGCACAGAGCCTGACATATAGTACATAACAGATTAAATAACCATCCCTATTGATTACATTTTTAAACAAATCATACTTTTTTCTGGACTCCATTTTCAAATATCTTGACAGAGCACACATACCAATGGCACTGTTCAGGATGTATTCTTCTCTGAAGAAATCTTGAATGAGCTTCTCTTTTGCCTTTCTAGCTTCTGCAAGTGCTACAATTAAAAAAAAAAAAAAAGGTACAGTTGCAAATCTCAAAAGACATTTTCCAATAAATACAAACAGAATAAATCAGAAGTGTTACAAAATTAAGCAACCAAGGGGAAACTGTAGAATGGCTTATTATTAAAGTTTTGGAGTTGCTCATGCCACAGATGTGTTAGCATTAGTCACAGATCCATAGCCCAATGCCAAAGCATCAAGGTAAAAGTTCCTTTTAAGAACTTACAAAGTAAATTAAATATTAGAAATGGCTACAAACTGCATTTTCTTATGACTGATTCCTCTAGCATCTTAATATTTGCTAGATATCCTTTTCCTTTAGTAATACATCTTGACACAATAAAGTACATCTTGTATATTCAGTATAATCCATCTGGTTGAATATTTCTGCCACATCCACTTTACCATGAAATATTTATTGACTATCTACTCTGTACCACACACTGTTTTAGGTGCTGCAGATAACGAAACAACAATTTAGATGCTGCCCTGAAGTGCAAACTAATGAGAAGACTTACTACTATGACTCCTACTACAAAAATATACTTTTTGTGCTATTCCCAAATAAAGATGTGAGCTGTGGGAATGGGAAAGGAAGAGTAGTAAAAAGAAGGCTGCCTAGAAGAATAAGATTGAGCCAACTGTAAATAGATGGGTAGGGACTTCCTGTAAAACAGCAGGGGGAGTTCTAAGTAGAGGAATCAGTACCTATAAAGATGTTCAACAGACATAAAATCAACAAACAGCAAGTATTCTCTGAAAAGTTTAAGGAGAATAGTAAAAGGTGAGGTTGTTGTTGTTGTTGTTATGTGCCGTCGAGTCGGCCCTGACTCATAGCGACCCCTCCTTGGGTTTCCGAGGCAGTATCACTACGGAAGTAGGATTGCCCAACCTTCCTTCCGAGGAGTGGCTGGTGGGTTTGAACCGCCAGCCTTCTGGTTAGCAGGCAAGTGTCTTAGCCACTATGCTACCAGAGCTCCCAAAAGGTGAGGTTAGAGAGGCAAATAAGATAGTACATAATATCCAAATCAATCCAGTGATGCCACAGGGAAAGGCAAATCTTCTGCAAGGATTAGAGCCAAGAAAACTATATGAAGCACATCTACTCTGTCACACATGGGTCACCATGACTCAGAACTGACTCAATGACAACATGTTTGTTTTATTATTATTTATGAATAGTATCAAAGGAAATGGGACTTCTCAAAGCCACTGCTAAAGCATAATACAGCTGACTTGATAAATATCAGTAAATATTTGTTGAATAACAAACACTATTCAATGGCTTTGCTTTTACTGCAATCTCCTATTATCCATAGTCCATATCTCCTACCATAGTCTTACTACAGTCAATTTCAAGATTGCTACCAAAACATTCTCTTCCATATATTGCAAGCTCATGTAAGTAGCTCTTCAACATCTTTAAGTCCTATGAGAATTTTCTCCTAAAATATAAATCAAACATATTATATACGCATCTTTCTACTTTGTAGGGAAGTGTTACATAAGAATTCTATTTAGATTTTTAGACTAACTTTTTAGAATTCTATGGAGACCTTGTGGCATAGTGGGTAAGGCATTTGGCTGCTAACCAGAAGGTCAGCAGCTCAAACTCACCAGCTGCTCTCTGGGAGGAAGATGAGGTGATCTACTTCCATATTCATAGCATTGGAAACCCCATGGGGATTGCTATGAGTCAGAATCAATTCAATGGCAGTGGGTTTGGTTTGGTTTTTTAGAATTCTGGTTTATCCTCTTTGAAAATGCTCCAAATGTTGACTCATTTTCCTAGTTGTTTTGGGTTTTTTTTTTAACTTTTTATTGTGATTTGGGTGAAAGTTCACAGCAAATTCATATTCCATTCAACAGTTCATAAACATTTTGTTTCATGACATTGTTTGCACCCTCCACAATGTAACAGCTCTCATCCTACTTCCTCCCTGTGGTTGGTTACCTTTTCCCTGTGTCCTTCTTTCCTATGCATTCCTGCCTTCCTGCACAAATGCTAGCTACCCTTCTGATGTCCTATGGTTGATTATTCTAAGCAGATTGTTCTAAGAAGGGCACCTCCCTGGCGTAACTGTTCACCTCGTAGTCCTGCCTGCTGTTTGGCTGAAAGTTAAGCTATGAGAATGAATTCAATTCCAGGCCCAAAGGGTGACAAGGGGCCATAGTCTCAGGAGTTTCCCCAGTCTCTATCAGACCAGTAAGCCGGCCTTTTTTATGATTTTGAGTTTTGTTCCACATTTTTCTCCCATTCTATCCAGGACGTCCAATTTTGATCCCTTTCTGAGTGGTTTTCAGTGGTTCTTCTGGTCTCAGGGTCATGTAAGTTGAGGTTCCCAGGGTCCACCAGTCCATTGGGATCAATTTCCTTGTTCCTAGAAAAACCTGATATCTAATTTTCCCATTCTTTCACTGATATATGCCAGAAACATTATCAATGCTTACCAATTCTAAAAAGAAAGGAATACAAGTTGTACTGCATTTTACCTCAAAATCTCCCAAGATTTTCTTGTAATCTTATTTTTAATTAAAGCAATGTAATTTAACATAAATGATGTTCATAATACCAATTGTTCATTTTTTGTTTGTTTGTTTTTAATTTTCTAAGTATGTATATATTGCTTTGAACTTGGACCTTTTAAGTTTCCTGGGATTAGAATCCATTGCTTTATAGATTTAAACTAGACTAATTCCAAAATTAGAACTGTATTTTTACCATTAGTATAAAGTTAGGGCTATACAAAAAATACCTAACGATTTGAAGCAGCTACACCCTAAGCATAATGCTCTACCTGTCTATAAACTAACAACATCCTTTCTAGATCCAACACCAGAGAAAAGAATAACCCAAGGCTGAAAACAATGTTTTTAAAGTATTTTTTATGTGGGCAAATTGTAAACAGATGGGTAGAGATTTCCTATAAAATTCAATAAATTCAAAAACAATTCAGTTAAATCAGTCTAAGCAATCAAAGTTTCCATTGAACTACAATTTTTTTAACTTAAGTTATTTCCAATTTAGTAGTTACCTGAAATTATCCTGAATCAAGTTTTTTTCTTCCTATTCCAAATGTAATGGTTTATATAAAACGGTAAATATGGTGAACAAATTCAGCACAAAGATTGTTGTATTAATACAAAAAATAAACATATGACAAACACAAAATAAAAATACAAGAAAAAATTATTCCTGGACCTTACCAATTCTATAAGAAACAAAATACAAAATGTAAAAACAGTTTTCAGTATCTAAAATCCTGACAACTAGTGGTGATAACAATAAGCATATGATTTCGATACAGAAAACAAATTATTCTTTGTTTTTGATAGTTAAAACATCTGTTGTTGTTGTTGTTATGTGCCATCGAGCAGACCTGGCTCAGAGAGACCCCTCCTTGGGTTTCCGAGGCACTACGGAAGTAGATTGCCCCATCTTCCTTCCAAGGAGTGGCTGGTGGGTTTGAACCACCAGACTTCTGGTTAGCAGTCAAGTGCCTTAGGCACTACACACAGGTTTACCCAAAAAAACAAGAAAGATAATGAGAACTAGTCTTTTTATATGTTATAATACTACTTTCTTCAAAAAGTTATTAAAAAATTTGAGTCCGACACTTTATTTTTGAAATTAATCCCTAAAAAATGAGCATTCAAAGTGACTACGTTAACTATCAAAGACAGAAAGGTAATTAAAGCATAATCCTTGCCCTCAATGAGACTTCAGCATGCTTAGTTATGTAGATGTAAAAATATATTAATATAAAAAATGTTATAAAAATACAGAAGGTGCTTGCTCTGGAATCATGGAAGGAGCAGTCCCTAACTCTCTTTAGGAGTAGAAACAGGGTATACTAGAAAACATGAGTTGAACGTTACAGGATAACAAAGAGTTCAACAGAAGAAGGAAGAATAATTACAAACAATAGAAAGCATGTATGTCATGGAAATATGTGACACACTGTCATATTTGGAAGATGGCAAATCATTCAACATGGCATGAGTGTAGAGTTACGTGACACACTTTGTGGTTGTTGTTAGGTGCCGTCGAGTCATCTCCAACTCATAGCGACCTTATGTACAACAGAACGAAACACTGCCTGGTCCTGTGCCAGCCTCACAATCCCTGCTATACATGAGCCCATCGCTGCAGCCACTGTGTCTATCAATCCATCTTGTTGAGGGCCTTCCACTCTTTCATTGACCCTCCACTTTACCAAGCATGACATCCTTCTCCAGAGAATGGTCCCTTCTGACACCATGACCAAAGAAGGTGAGATGAAGTCTGGCCATCCTCACTTCCAAAGAGCATTCCGGCTGCACTTCTTCCAGGACAGATTTGTTAGTCCTTTTAGTAGTAGTCCACGGTACTTTCAGCATTCTTCACCAACACCACAACTCAAAAGCATCAACTCTTCTTTGGTCTTCCAAAGATTCAGACACACAGAATTGCTTAATATCAGCTTTTCTGACATAAAATTCAGTGGACTCACATACCATAACCGGACATTTTATTTAAGATGGTTCAGGAAGAGAGGCAAATTAGATCAAGCTCAGAGGTACACACGTACAGTTTTTTAGTTTGTAAATTGTTATTCCCCTTATTTTTCTAGTATTAACTACAAAAGATGCATTTTTAAATTTCTTTTTTTTACCTTAACAAAGTATTAATTAATAACAAAAAAAATTCTAAAAAGTAAAGCACATTACAAAATACCACAAAAAAAATTGCTATTTTATCAGTTCTATTGGGAAAAAAAATAAACAAAAAACATTTAGGTGAGGTGGAAGATTTTTTGTACCTTTGATATCACCACCAGCACAGAAAGCCTTTTCTCCAGCTCCCTTTATAATGATCAGGAAAGTTTCAGGATCTTGTTCCCACTTCTATTCAAATGTAAAAGAAGATGGTGTAAGCATATTATAAATTGCTGTTGTTGTTAGCTGCCATCCAGTTGGCTCCCAATTCATGATGATTCCATGAAAGGAAAGTAAGACCACTGTGATCCTTGTTTTTTTACTGGCTAATTTTTTCAGAAGTAGATCACTAGGCCTTTCTGCCCATATTATAAATACAAATTCATTAAAAATAGATACATATATCCATCCAGAAGGGGTTTCAACTTCACTTTCTTTTCTGACATAAATTAAAGGTTATTCCAACAAGGTTACTAGATCAGGGAAAAGAAAGGGTAATGCAAATTTTGTGATGGCATCTGAAACCTTCGCCACACTAACCTTGAGAACAAGGTGAATAAACATGGGCTTAATAAGATTACGTTACATAAACTTGTAAATCTGGTGAAAAAATCAACCCAAAAACTGCTGCCAGAGCAGTAACAACCTTTCTAATGTGGTCATACAGGGCTCTGTCCTACTGATAAATTTATAAGCAAAAGAATTAAACCACTTTGGATACTGATCAAATCTGCAAATAATTTGAGGTTGGAAAGGATAAGCATGTAAGAAACAAAATCCAATAGAAATTCAAAAGGCTAGAAAAATGGACCAAATGAAAGATTAAACAGAGGCAGAAAAATAGTGGCTCTACAAATTCTATACTCAAGAATAAAATTTTAAATGCACAAAAAAGAGATGTAGCTGGACAGATCTTGTTGATGTATGTTAACAGAAATGTGGTATTCTAACATGAAAATTTCTACTCTCTTCCTTTCTAGTCCAACTCTAATCTGGATACTTGGATACAACAACATGTTGTTGAATGGTTAACACACTCAGCTGCCAACCAAAAGGTTGGTAGTTCAAGTCAACTAAGTGATGCCTCAGAAGAAAAGGTTTGGCAATCTACTTCCAAAATATCAGCCACTGAAAATCCTGTACAGCAGTTTTGCTCTGACACACATGGAGTCACCATGAGTCAGAGAATCAATTCAATGGCAATTGGTTAGGTTCTCAGTATTACACTTTAGTTTCAGACACACCAGAATAGAAAAGAGACTCATCATACAATGATTTAAGGAAATGGTAGTGGTGGGAGAACTAGCATTTGTTCAACACCCATGTGGCAGACTGTATTAGGTACTTACATACACTATTTTATTAATTTTCACAACCAGCCCATGAAATACCATCATCTCCATTTTATAGATGAGGAAAGTAAAGTACAGAAAGATTCATTTTCCCAACCAACACAGTTAATAACTAGAAATCTAAGTTTCAAGCACAAAGAGTCTGACTTAAGTCCTATGCTTTCCCACTGTTCCTTGCAGTTTCACTTAGAATATAAAAGCTTGTGGCCTTCTCAAAGAAAAGGTGGGTAATGTAACTTCTGAACAGTTGTTTCAAAAGAAAAGGCTGTCACGTGGAAACATTAGATATATATCTCATGCCCCAAGAGACAGAAGCAGAATCACTGGCTAAAAGGTCAGAAAAATAAAGAGCAGGGGCACAGGACAAGCAGAAACTTCTGAGTTACCTGCTAAGAGTCTGTAGATGGCCAGTTCTTAGTTATTTACTATAGAAGTGTCTCCTGCACGCCCTGTAGGGCATGGTAGGGGCGCTCAAGGATAACCACATAGGAAAAGCACTGAGGACTCAAAGAACCAAATGGGGCTTGGGCACAGATCCCAGACAGTCCTGTGACTCTTTGAGAAAGAAGAAAATAAGTGTTCTATTAAGATATACACCACCAGAGCTCCCAAGAAATCTGTGTAATTGCCTCAAAGAAAACTACAAACCTTTAACTGTGGATAAATCTGCCGAATTACACTAAGATTCAGTGCATTTAAGAACTTGGGTCTGTTGAGTGTAATCACTCCTGTACAACCTTTTCTTTCCAATAGCACCTCTTCTGCCGCATCTGTGTGTTTGGACATTCCCTGTAAAAACAAAGAATAATTTTATGAAAAAATTTATTAAGTTTTTGTTACAAACCAACATCAAAAAACATACAAGTCAATGACATTCTTTCTTCTTAATAGTAACTAAGCAAATAGTGAGGTACATCTGAAAAATAAAGGCTTCCAAAGTTTTTTAGAGTCTGTAGGTGGACAATTCTGAAGTAAATTACACATATATACACCATGACTTGATAATCAGGTCTCACTGTTCATGTAATATATTGTTGTTGTTGTTGTTAGGTGCCATCAAGTCGGTTCTGGCTCACAACGATCCCATGTACAACAGAACGAAACACTGCCCAGTTGTGTGTCATCCTCACAATCCTTGCTATACTTGAGCCTGTCGTTGCAGCCACTGTGTTGATTCATATTGTTGAGGATCTTCCTCTTTATTCTCTGATATAATATATAGTAACGCAAACAAACGCAACACACTGCCATCGAGTCTGAATCTGACTCATAGCGACCCCTCCTTGGGTTTCCAAGGCAATATCACTACGGAAGTAGATTGCCCAACCTTCCTTCCAAGGAGTAGCTGGTGGGTTTGAACTGCCAGCCTTCTGGTTAGCAGTCAAATAAATGCCTTAGGTACTACGCCACCAGAGCTCCCGTAATATATAATAGTGACTAATATAACACGGAATTGGGATTGAAGGAAGACTCATTAGCAACCTGCAATATGCAGATGACACAGCCTTGCTTACCAAAAGTGAAGGTGACTTACTGATGATGACCAAGACTACAGCCTTCACTGTGGATTACTCAACATAAAGAAAACAAAAATCCTCACAACTGGACCAATAAGCAACATCATAATAAATGGGAGAAAAGACTGAAGTTGTCAAGGATTTCATTTTCCTTGGATCCACGATCAATGCCCATGGAAGCAGCAGGCAGGAAATCAGATGAATATTGTACTAGGTAAATCTGCTGCCAAAGACCTCTTTGAAGTTATAGAGCAAAGATGTCATTTTGAAGACAAAAGGGTGCCTGAACCAAGCCATGTTATTTTCAATCACCTCATATGCAAGTGAAAGGTGGACAATGAATAAGGAAGATCACAAAAGAACTGATGCATTCGAATTGTGGTGTTGGTGAACAATACTGAAAATACCAAGGAATGCCAGAAGAACAAACAAATTTGTCTTGGAAGAGATATAGCCAGAATGCTTAGAAGCAAGAATGGCCAGACTTTGTCTCATGTACTTTGGTCATGTTGTCAGAAGGGAGTAGTTCCTGGAGAAGGATAAGCTTGGTAAAGCAGAGGGTCAGTGAAAAAGGGGAAGACCCTCAATGAGATGGACTGACACGGTGGCTGCGATGATGGTCTCGAGTATAGCAAGGACTGTGAGGATGACACGTGACCAGGCAGTGTTTCATTCTGTTGCAGAGGGTTGCTATGAGTCCTTGAAGCTGACTCAGTGACACCTAACAACAACAACAACAATATAACATCTATAAGAAATATGTTTCAAACTAAATAGCAATTTTGTAAGACTCTGCTATACACAACTATCAAGGCTAACAGAGTTACTATACGTAGCACGTTCTTTTGTTCTCTTTTTGCTATTGTTGTTGTTGTTGTTATGTGCCGTCGAGTCGGGCCCAACTCATAGCAACCCTGCCTTGGGTTTCCAAGGCAGTATCTCTATGGAAGTAGATTGCCCAGCCTTCCTGCTGAGGAGTGGCTGGTGGGTTTGAACTGCCAGCCTTCTGGTTAGCAGTCAGATGCCTTAGGCACTATGCCACCAGAGCTACCATACACACATATACAAGGGGAAAAAAAAAATGCCCATGTATACACCAACTTGTAAAAAGTGACACAGGGCCACTTTCTTGGTTATTTTCTGTATTTTTCCAGTTTCCTACAGAAACCATAATAAACAGTTTGGTTACTCAAGAGTGTCTCTTAAAGATAAAGAAAAAATGGATGTTTGCTATAATTATTCGTAATATCAAAAATATACAATTCAAAAGGCCATCAAACACACAAAAAGATGCTCAACGTCATTAGCCATCACAAAGATGCAAATCAAAACCACAATGAGATACCATTTCACTCCCATTAGGATGATTAAGATAAAAAAAGAAAACTGTAAATGCTAGAGAAGATATGGGGAATACTTATCCATTACTGGTGGGAATCCAAAATGGTAGACCACTGTGGAAAACAGTGTGGCAGTTGCTCAAAAAATTAAAAATAGAATTATGGTATGACCTAGCAATTCTACTCCTAGATACATACCCCAAAAGACTTGAAAACAGAGTCAGACAAAGGCTGGAACATCAATGTTCACTGCAACTTTATTCACAATAGCCAAAAAGTGAAAACCACCTAAAAGTCCACCAACAAATGAATGGATAAAAAAATATGGGACAGCACTGGTGGTGTTGTGGTTAAAGATAACAAACCAAAAGACTGGTAACCAAAAGGTGGGCAGTTCCAGCCCACCAGCCACTCAGTAGGAGAAAGATGAGGCAGTCTGCTTCTGTAAAGATTTACAGCCTTGGAAACCCTACGAGGGCAGTTCTACTCTGTCCTATAAGTCACTATGAGTTGAAATCGAATCTATAGCAGTGGGTTTGGTTTGGTTTGGTGGTACATACATGCAACGGAATACTATTCAGCCAGTAGCATAGTGCCTAAGGCATTTGACTGCTAACCAGAAGGCTGATGGTTCAAACCCACCAGCCACTCCTCAGAAGGAAGGTTAGGCGATCTACTTCCATAGAGATACTGCCTCAGAAACCTAAGAAGGGGTAGCTATGATTCAAATTGACTCGACGGCAGTGAGTTTGGTTTATGGAGTAGCAAAAATGAAGTCTTGATATATACTACAGTATGGTTGCAGCTTGAAGACATTATGCTAAGTGAAATAATAACAAAAGGACAACTAAAGTATGACCTCACTTACATAAAAAGACAAGAAAAGGCAAACGTATAGAGAGCAAAGTTTATTAGTGGCTAGAACTGGTAGAAGGGAGAAGCAAAGGAGGAATTATTTCTTATGGAGTATTGTGTTTCGAAATATATGGTGAAAAAAAAAATCAGTAACAATCAATGGATCTTCATACTAGATTGAACTACTTTCTGAAAGAAAAAAAAAAAAAAAGGCTGTTTTCTTCATGTCCAGCTCAAAATTATGTGGAAGAAATAAGCCTTTGCACATTAAATTTAAAGTGCTACTTAATAGTTCAAAATAGAACATTATGGGGGATCTTTCTTAGGGATATTTCTGTTTTAAGAATGTCTCCAAATCAGTCTTGGACACAAATGAAACCTCATTAACAAATGAGGCTTGGCTTCCAATTAGCTTGGCAATCCCCATCTGCAGAAATGCAGACCTTTGGCGTCCTTGCTGGGTTCTGTTTTCCATCTAGTATCTTGGAAAGGTCACCAGGGATGTCACAATATTATTACAAATCAACCCCATCCACTTCTCCTATCCCTGTCTGCAATACTGCCATCAGTGGCATGGTTCCAGCACTCAACTATGAAAAATAAAAAGGGAAGAGTTCTCTCTGCGTTGACTTGATTGGCTCTTATAGAAGTATCACATAAGGACTGCTTGGAATACAAAGAGGCTTCTTTGTCATCCCTGAAGCACATGTCAAAACCACCCAGCCCTCAGGGCCTGATGAAAGTCCAGTTCTTAAGAATCTTCCCTCCAGGTGCTTTAAGCCCCAGGTCCCAAAGTCCCCACATATCAGGGTTTTGTTATGTCTTCCCATTCCACCTGTGTACATGTCTGAACATGAATAACACTGTTCCAAACTCATTTCCCAGGAAACTCCTCAGCCCTCATGTCTGTCAGCTGACTAAAATAAATAAAAGGGGGAACATATATTCCAATCCTCATATCCCCATTTCTACTTAGGCTTAATTGAGACACATTCAGCAATAGTTTCTTAATGCCCACTCCGCCAGTTAAGTCCAGATTCCCTGAATTCAAATCCAACCAGACTGGAACATCTATAATCTTAATCATAACCTCATGCCACCTACTACAAGGTATGTGTATCAAGACTTCTTGTTGTTACATGCCGTGGAGTCGGCCCCGACTCATAGTGACCCCTCCTTGGGTTTCCGAGACGGTATCACTACGGAAGTAGATTGCCCAACCTTCCTTCCGAGGAGCAGCTGGTGGGTTTGAACCTCCAGCCTTCTGGTTAGCAGTCAAGTGCCTTAGGCACCACACTACCAGAGCTCCTGTACCAAGGCTGTTGTTGTTGTTGTTATTTGCCGTCGAGTCGCCCCCGACTCATAGCGACCCCTCCTTGGGTTTCCGAGGCAGTATCACTACGGAAGTAGGATT